CTCTGAATGAAATGTGGTACATAGAAAGGCTGTGTGCCAGCTCCCAGGTGTTGTAGGCATGCAGTGGGGATTCCCAGTGAAGAAAACACTAGCCCTGCTCAAAGAGAAAGGTCAAACTACTGACACAGTTGAAAGAGAAAGATTGGGTTAAGAGAATCCAGAATGTGTGGAAACAAATCCAAAATAAATGTTGGCTTACAAAATTATTCAAAAATACACTACTAATCAAACAATAAATATTCAATATGTTTTCTCTATTTTATCTCTTCCTTTACTATGAATTAATTTTTTCAGTAGGAATGCTTTGTAAATAACATAAGCAATGTAAACATCAGGCTTACATCAGGCTTACAGTTATAACCTGGAAAAATATCCAGCCAAAACAAAACACAAAGAGAGCTCTCCAAGGCAAGACACCCGTTGAACAACAAACCTGATCTGAGTGCCTACAGCAAGTGCTCTTTTTTTTTCAAACACACTCAAGATACATCCTGATTATCTAGAAATACAGCTGGTCCCATAGTGGTTACACATATATGTTGCTAAACTTAAGATATGCATAGATTCAAATGAGCTGTTCAATACACTTCTAGTACTTCTAGTCCCAGAGCTAATCATAGAGTGATGGAATGGTTTGAGTTGGAAGGGATGTTTAAAGGTCATCCAGTCCAACCCACCCCTGCAATGAGCAGGGACATCTTCAACTAGAGCAACTTCCTCAGCGCCCCATCCAACCTGACCTTGAATGTTTCCAGGGATGGGGCATCTACCACTTCCTTGGGCAACCTGTGCCAGTGTTTCACCACGCTCATTGTAAAACATTTCTTCCTTGTATCTGGTCTGAATAAACCCTTTCAGTTTAAAACCATTAGCCCCTGTCCTATCGCTACAGGCCCTACTAAAAAGTCTGTCCCCATCTCTCTAATAAGACTTGTGAACATTCAGCTGATACAGCTGGTCTCTTAGGATTTCACTGTTCACAAATGGAAAGTCACTGTTCCCACACTCCGTGTCAGGGGACCAGGCAGCCCAAGGTCTACCAGTATTGCTAAAGACTGAGGCAAAAACTACATGGAATGCCTTCACTTCTTCTTCATCCCTACTCAGATGACCATCTTCAACAAGTATTTGTCCAATGTTTTCTTTAGACCTCCTCTTGCTATTAACATACTTACAAAAGCCCTTCTGGGCCAGTTTCAACTCTGAGCTTTGGCCTTTTGTGTCTTCTCCCTGCATATACAAATGACGACTCTGCAATCTTCCTGTAAAGTCTGACCTCACTTCCAGCGACCATACAATTTCTTCTTCCTCAGGAGCTCCATGAGGAGTTCCCTGTTCTGTCAAACTGGACTTCTGCCCTGCTTGCTTGACTTAGGACACAGTGGAATTGCCTGCTCCCATGCTTCTAAAAGGTGGTTCTTAAAGACTGACCAGGACTTGTGGACTCCTAAGCCCTCAAAACCATATTCCCAGGGTACTTTGCTAAATAGCTCCCTGAATAGCTTAGAGTTTACTCTCCTGGAGTGCAAGGTAGCAACTCTGCTGTCCTTTTTTCTCACTACACTGAAAGTTTTAAACTCAACCATTTCATGATCACCGTGGCCAAGTGTTGTCACTTGAGCCTACTCAGCAGCTAAATGCCACACAGCCGCTCACCCACCCTCCCCCCACTTGGGAATGGGGAGGGAATCGGAGGGGCAAAGGGAGACTTGCGGGTTGAGATAAAAACAGTTTAATAACAGTAACAGAACAATACACTGACAGCAGTATCAGCGGGTAATGTACAATACAGCTGCTCACCACCTGCCGACCGACACCCACCCGCTCCCGGCCTGTGATCCCGAACACAAAGGCCCCACGGCCACACTCCCAGAAGTGGCAGCCTCTCCCAGCCCTCTCCTGCCTTTATATAGTGAGGGTAATGTCACGTGACACAGACTATCAGCCAATCGGGGCCCAGCCCTCCAGCTGTGCTCCCCCCGCCCCCACACACAGGTGAGGGCACTGGGCCCTGGGGAGCCCCTGGGGTCTCAGGGGGCTGCAGCTCCTCCCGCTGCCAGACCAACGGGAGCTCTAGGCCAGCCCCAACCAGGACACCAAGAAAACCACCTACCATCACAGGCTCGCCGAGTTCTTCTCAATTCACAAATAGCAAGTCTAGGAAGGCATCTTTCCTGGTTGGCTGAGTACCTGTGACAAGAAGTTCTCTCCTACAAACTTCAATAATTTCCAAGAACTGCTCGTCTCAGCAGTATTATATTCCCAGTTGAGGGACAGGAAATTGCAATCTCCCATAAGGACTAGGGCTACAGATCCTGAAATTTCTATTTGCCTATAGAATAACTCATCAGTGCTTACATCCTGGCTGGGCAATTGGTAGTAGACACCCACTGCAACATCTCCTTTGTTTTCCACCCACCCTAATCCTCACCCAGAGGCTCTCAGCCACATCATCACTAACTCTAAGGACGGTACAATCAAACCTCTCCCTTACACATAGTGTGACACCTCCACCTCGCCTGTCCTGCCCATCCCTCCCAAGCCACCTATAGCCCTCATCCCAGCACTACAATCGTGGGGGTCATTCCACCAAGTCTCACTAATAATAATATCATAGCTCTGGGGCTGACCAATGCTTCCAGGTCATCCTGTTTGTTTCTCATACTGCATGCGATGGTGTACAAGCATTTCGGATACGCTCCTGCGCCCTCTGTGCTCCCAGGAGCACTGAAAATGTTCCCACTAGCATTGTCACCCTCAGGCAACACCATGCCAGCCCTTGGCTTACCCACCGCATTCTCTTGGTATCCCCTCCCCCCTCTTAGCAATTCTAGTTTAAAGCTCTCTTGATCAGCCCCACCAGTTTATGCCCAAAAACACATTTTGCCCATTGGGACAGGTGGATCCTGTCAGGTCCCAGCATACCTTGTCTCTCGAAGGCTCTTCCATGATTTCAAAACCCAAAGTTTTGGTCCTGGGCTCGGTCCTAGCTTCTAGGAAGATCTGTTCCATGCTCTTCCCAGGCACAGAGGTGAGGTTGACGGGTATCTTCCACTGGACCAGGTTGCTCAAAGCACCGGCCAGTCTGACCTTGGGCACTTCCAGAGAGGGGGCATCCACAGCTTCTCTGGTCAAGCTGCTCCAGTGTCTCACCACCCTCACGACCAGAGGCAGTTCCCTGTGTGCCCTGGCTCCTCACCATCCCCAAGGCCCTGGGCTGGGCTCACACGCCACGCATCAGTGTCTTCCCTGGACTGGGGAGACCAGGAGGGGCCAGAGAGTCCAGATGCAGTTGCCAAAGTACCAAACAAGAGAGGAGGCAAGTATTTTTACTGTTATTTTCTTGGTTTATTTTGGGGGCTTTTTAAAAACTGTTTATAGCCCAACTTTGAAAAGAACTCCTTGTGAAGCAGCTAGCAGGGACCTTAATGCTAAAGGCTAGCACTTCTTCCTGGCAGTACTGCATTCTTCTGCTTCTCCAAAGGAACAGCTGCCTAGCTTCTTTGCTTGATCTGTTGCTATTCTTCGTGCACAGCCACAGGGGGGTCTAGCTTCATCTTCAACCACCCATTGGGCAACCTTCTTGTCCTCATACTGAAAAACTCCATCTTCAGGCCCCATGGGCCTCGGTAGCCCTCTAAGGGACAACTATCGTCCCAGTGCAGCAGCCTGGCAGAAGACAGGTCATCTCATCCTCTTTCCTTGGGGCTCAGAGCAGAGGCGATGGCACCCCTTCAGGAGGGGTGCGGTGCGGGCAGGAGGTGGGGGACAGGAAAGAAGGGCTCCCAGCACCCGTGGCAATGAACACAATAGTTGTTGATGCCAGGAGACGGAATGGGTGAGCCTGCAGGACGGCCAGGTGCGGAGGCTGGGCCTCCCAGCTAATGGCAGGCACGGAGGCTGGGCCGGGCGCTCCTGCGATGCCATTGCCGTGGCGTCACGGTGGGAAGCCGTGCTGGAGGTGGATCCGCTTCCACCGGTTCTTCTTGATCCGTGGACTGACCCACCTCCGTGGGCTCCACGTGGTCAGGTTGTACCGTGCGGCTGACGGTACCCCCCGCCTGGCACTGCCTCCTCTCCCTCTGCGCTTCCTGCAGCCACACGCCGCCTCTCACCCCACGCAAAGATGGGCAGCCACCAGATCTGCTCTTGGACCTCACTTCCAGGCATCCTCGGAACCCGAGGGCCTCGAAGCTCAGCAAACTGTGAGCCAGCTGCTGGGGGCCCCGTGTTTATTTGGCCGGGAGCAAACAGCGGTGAGGTGGTTTGTGACAGGAGGTCGCTGTCACGGGGGTGCATGGGGCCAAATATGGCTGTTCTGGGAGCTGGGGGCCTGTGGCCTGAACGACGTCCCCTTTCAGGCCACAGAAGGAGGGAGAAGGAAGAGGGTTGGGGGGCTGCGGGCCCCTTTCCTGGGGCTTGCTCCCCTGTGCCCCCTTCTGCTGCCCCTTGGGCACAGGGACTGCCCTCCAGCCCCTCGTGTGCCCGGGCTCCAGCCCCTCCTCATCCCGTGCTGGGCTCCCCTGGGCGAGATGCCGGCAGCGGTGTTCGGGGGGGCTGGGGGGTCCATGGTGACACCCCACCGACCCGGCTCCCTGCGAGCGGCGCCGCCGCCCCTGCCCGACAGCAGCTGTGAGGGGGTGAAGCGTCCAGACACCCCGCTGGCAGGAACGGGAGGCCCAGCCGGCCTGCCCCAGGTCTCCCAGCACTCCATAAAAGAATTGCTGTTTGCCAAGTGTTGCGTGGGCCCTTCTTCGCCGTCCCCTGGCCAGGCCCCTGGAGCGTGGGGAGGTACCATCTCCTCTGCACGGATCCCCGAGGGAGAAGGGAGGAGAGGGCCTGGTGTCCTTGGGGCCACTGTGCCAGCGCTATGCAAGGAGTCTGTTGGAGGCCACCAAGGGAGGTCCCTGGGGCCTGGAGGTGGCGGGATTTCTTTTCAGTCTCAATTTCACCCTCGCTCTAGTCTCTACTTTTAACGACAAACCCTCTCACTGCTTTTCTTTTTTTCTTTTTAATCCTCAAGGATATTTTTACTGTTCTTCGCTCACATGAAGTACGGGCCAATTCCTACACTCATCTAGGAGTTTCACCAAGACGTTTCACTGTGGCTATGGCAAACACAAAGAACAACTCATAATGCTTCAGTCTTGCTCATGCTCTCCCTGGGACACACCATAGATTAGGCTACTGGTCCTGCAACATGGAATAAACTGGAAAACATGCTGTAGGTTAGGGTAGCATATGAACTTTGTGGACTGTAGTGACAAGAGTTTCTCAGGCATACAGCAGCATGACATGGTTGAGAAAGAGTCACGTGTGTGACTATGGTCTGCTCTGCTGATCAGTTAACATTCAGGTAAGAGAAAGAAGGCATACCTTCTTCTCCAGCTTCCTGATAATCTCATAAATATATATGGATTTGATTAATTTTCATAACTGGTAGCACACAAACAGATGTTTTTGAGAAGGTCAGAAGGGACATTTGGTTAACTCTGGGATGGCAAAGGGCAAAAAAAGGACTGCTTCTTCCAAATCAGAAATAATCACAAATATTTGAGCAGAATAATCTGTTCCAAGATAAGAGTCTCCAAAAAGCACTGTTGGCAATGTCATGGTAAGCCATGACAAAACGGCTTGAAGGAGGGCACTCACTTCCAGTTCAGGTAGATGATGTGACACAGGAATGAAATTAGTACAAGTTGATGAACACACAGAAGTCTTCACTGGGAACAAAAACCACACAAATGACAGTTTATGACCTTCGTCATCTAGATAACATCCACAATTGTTCCTATTACTCAAGTCCTTTCGTGTTGCGCTTTCTCAGTGTACCTGTTTCATCTGAATCACTGTCTTTTTGCTTTTTCAGTACTGCATTTTCATTTTCTGACTCCACAGACAGATCCTCTTGGGTTGACTCTTCTGCTTCACTGCAGCTTTCAGAGTGGAATCCAGTGTTCTCCGCTATGACAGCAGGATCGTCGTCCTCGTAACAACAGCAGCAATCCTCAATGCTTTCACTGTGATGAAGGTCCCTCTCCTCTTCACTGATGCCAGTTACCTTGTCCTTTTTCGGCATTAAATCATGAATGCCCCTTCCCATGGTGAGATCAGATAGCAGGGTTTCATTGCACAGATGCTCCTCCTCTTCTATGCCCTCCATCCTTTCTGCCAGTTCTTCTGCAGAGGGCTGGCTCAAGTCAGGGTAATCTACAAGGATTGTGTCCTGTTTGCGCTTGAAGCAATCAGAATTATCATAGATAGGATAGGTCTCTTCTGGATAACCTTAGGAATGAAATGATATACAGCTTGAAGCGTTACCAGCATTTAAAAGTAGTACTGACTTCAGTGATGGGTGCACAAGCTTGTAACAACAGCTGGTTTTAGCACCACCAGTATAAGTGTCATCTATTTAATGCCATGTATATGTCACAGTATTAAACCCATGGCAACAATGTGCAAAACATGACTTCTTGGGAGATGATAAGAAAACTCCACTAAGCTTTAGGGAGCCAGGATATCAACCCTGACTTTCACAAGTGAATATCTGAGCTTTGATGAAAACTATGGGAGCTAACAGGTGAAAATTGCATGTCTTGGATCCTTAAGTAGAACCTCTTTTTTTGTGCTTCTGTCTACAGATTGACTGATTCATGTTTTGAAGACTTTTTCTGTAAACAGCATTATTTATAAAGTTAAAAAAACAAATATGTCAAATACTTTGTGCATTTCATTTTAGAAAACAGTGTTCGAGGCCACTGTTTTTGCTTTATGTTTTGAATCATTTTTGAAAGCTTCTTAAAGAGCAAGGAATTAAGTCTGCATTTAAAATTATGATAGTGAGCAGCTCAACTAGGGTATCCTGAAAGCACATTTATGTAACAAGTATACATCAAGGAATGGAAAGGACATTAAAATAAAGAATTTTTAAAAGACAAACTTCCTGGACTCGACTTTTACAACATTGGAGCAATCAAATAATGACTAATCAAAAGCAAAAACTCTAAGTTATCCAAAACATAATTCTGATTTCCAAGCGTTTTATGATTTTGCATGAAATCTAGCCCAGCAAAGAAGGGAAAGATATAAACCTACAGCAGCCAAGACCCAGTAGCAGATGGAGTGTATGTGAATATTCATATGCCACTTTTGGCAGCAGATACGGTAGTGTTTACACTAAAGGAAATGCTGGATGCCTCAAAATCTATTTTCTTTCTATTATGGTTGGGAAAACAAACCAGCCCTTGCAAAGTTTTGAACACCAACTTCTGAAAAGGAAGGATAAAATTAACAAAAAATTGTGAAATTATCTGGATCTATAAGTAATCCTTATTCAATTTTTCTTGCCAGGGTAATGGTAACAAAGGCTCTTGCTTACCTTCCCAATCCTCCATGTAAGGAGCTTCTTCAGCTTCCTTCTCAGGAGAGATTCCATCTATGAATTTTCCTTCTTTCATAACTCTAGTAATTTCTCGGAGTTGCTGAAGTAACCTTTTTTCCTGGTCTGTTGTAACATTTTGAGTCCTGCTAGAAAATATTAGACACCAGAATTCAGTACACTATTATTACAGACTACTAACAGAGTTTGAACCCAACTGTTTGGTCCATCCCAGCAGCACAGTCTGAAGAAACCTGGCTGCGGTATTATCACTATTCAGTATCTGCACATGGTCTGCACTTCAGCTTGGTATAAAGGTTCATCCATTTACCCAGAAAGTCTGCAAACTTAAACAGGTAAAGGAAGGCAGGTACAGCCAATGTGAGCTAAAGATGGAAGTGACACACAAGCAAGAGTTATGGTACAAAAGACAGCACAGAAATTTCTGGCCTTTAAAAGAGTGCTAGAGGGCCATGCCTTGTGTGAAGCATTGTAAGAAAATGTAATTCAGAACCTATGCTACATTTAAAACAACTTGTGGGGCTGATTCAAATGTCTCACACAGATATTAGTCTCAAGAGTCATATGATCCCTAATTATGACAATTAAAGGTATTACATTTGCAAGGCCTCATTAAGAAATGTCAGTTGGACAGATCATCGTGTTGCTATACAGAGTCAACAATGCTGCCTGGTGGGGAGGTGGGAGGAGAAGCAGGAAGGAAGATTTAAAAATGAAAAGAAGGTGTTAGATTTAACTTTAACTTGCCCTTTAGAATCAGAGGGAGAGTGGGAGAGGACGGAGATTTTTACCAGATTAAAAGCAAACTATAATTTTGACTGGTTCTACACTGCTGATTCTAGTAATTACTACTACTCAGATAATAGTTACATACTGTTGTAACAAAAATGCTTTCAACAGGTAAGATTGTGTTGTTTTCTCTGAAAGAAACAAAGTCTCCTAAAAAGCTTAGGGACAAAAAAAGAAGTATTTGGAGAGTGGCGATCTGACCTCTAACTCACTCAGTAGGTCAGAATGACACCGGCTATACTTAGGGATGAAAATGGTTCTGACTGTTCTGCTTGTTTCATCTAAAGTTTCAAGTTGTTCTTGAGCAGGTGTTTGATCCCTGTGTAAGGGCCAGTTCAAACCTCTCGGGGACTGAGGCACTACTGTGATGCTTGTTTGAATCTCACTGTGTTTTAGGCCCCTGGTTACTCAGAGGGGGTGGCACTTGGCATGCACGTAACGCTGAACTGTGGGCAGTACGTGAGGTCAGACAGATGATCTCCAGCGATCTCCAGGCTACCAGACAGACAGATAATCTGCAAGGTTAGACAGCTGCTCAGTGAATCTTAGGGGTACGATGGGAAGAGGGGAGCTGGAAAGAGATTGATGATTTTGGATTTAGGCGATTAGTGTCTACCTAAACCTTGTTTCAGGTACCTGAATTCTCATAAACTTGCAGTGCCCACCTTCAGTTTTTCCTCTTATTAACTGTTGCGACTAAAGCAGCACATTAATAAGTACTTTGTGCTACTCTACGTATACAGGAATGATGGTGACATGATAGTTACTCCACTAAAGGCAGCAGTCATACTGGTTCAAAGCCAAAGAGATTAACATCATACTGCTGGTTTGTGTGACAGTGATCAAAGTGCTGACCCTGGGCTAGATTTTGAGCACAGTTGCACACACAGTTGTCTGTAACTGAACTTACCTCAGGAGCGGGGCCACTGGTTTCATTAGGAGCTATCCAGATTAAACTGTTTGGCTGAGATCACAAGGCTTAGTATCACTCCTCTGCAACTTCCCTGAGGGGCACTTTGCCCCACAGTTTGAAAAGCTCATACAGTCCCAACACTATATGGAGGTTGCATTGAGTCCCCTCAAGTTGCAGCGGCAGTTTGTTCCACAGAACAAGTAAGGGTTTGAAGCAGCATCTTCTCAAAAGCCTGGGTTATGCAGATGTAGAATTTGATATGTGAATTAAGCAATTAAGCAGCACACAGAAAGAAATGGTTTCATCAGCTAGCTGCCTTTGACAGAAGCTGTAATAGAACCGCTAAACTAATCCTCCTTTTATAGACAAAAGTGTATGTAATTTGAATATATATTACCTGGATGAAGACAGAGAGGCCTATCTGTTTAGCACAACGGGGAGATATGCTAGCTCAGATAATAGGATCAATCAATGCAGCTGCATCACTGTGGCATTTCATATAGGAAAATTCCTAATATGCTGGATACTTTCATTAGAAAGCACTACTGTCTTATTGCAACACAAGGTCTCCGTATTTCAGAGTATTCCTCCTCCAGATACCTTGCTCAGAAGACAAATTTCCCTGTAGAGAGGGAGAAAACAAAGCCCATGCACTATTTCTATTTCATTTAAGGCCTCTAGGAAGACTTACTGTAGGATGCTGGCAATGTATAAGACATTTGGCTGCCTGTGTACGGGAGATTTACCAGGGTATAATGCACTTATGAATACAAAGAGGACAACAGATGCAAAAGGTTTACAGTGTAAGAAAAGGTCATTATTTTTGCTCTGTGTGTTTGTAGCTCCAACACAGCTATTACTTCTCATACTGGCAATGCTTACATTTTGTAGAGTCCCAAAGTGCTCACTAACAGGTAAAGTAAAGGTTTCTTATTCTTACACTGAGATCAGAATATTTCCTAAAGAGCTATCATGACTTCAGTGAAAATCCATAATTTAACATTTTATCTCAGACATGTCAAGTGGTATTTTTTTGCTTGATCTTAAAATAATCGCTATTAAAATGTGGCTATGGCCCAAAAATGGCACCCTACAGAGTACAGCCTCTCTCCCTTGCCCAGATTACATTTGCTCAGTTTACGGTAAAAAGGTAAGTTTTTCCATTTGACAGCCTGGTAAACAGGACTTTAAAAACAGGTAATCAAGCTGTATTATTTCTACCTCTTACCTAAATACCAGAAATTGAATTATTTTTTTACAATAGAATATTGTACAATACTCCCATTGATAAAAATATTTACAAGTATTCTTCAATTTAAAGTGGTTTCAAACCATCAAATTTTACAGACAGTGGTGGAAAGAATATAGGTGAAACAACTGTGAGAATGGGTAGGAAAATCTTTTGTACCCGTTATATCACTGTCCCAATATTGAAACACTCTGCTAAGAGCCTAGGAAAAAGCAATATGCATGCTTTTAATGCAGAGAGCCCTATATAACCATCAATCAAGTCTTTATTTCTGAATCATCAAATTACCAGCAAGGCTCTTCATCCCTGCTAAGAGGTACTGGACTGTAAAGGTCTACATTTAGAAACTGCAGATACTGAGGTCCCCCTTAGTGAGAGAATGCGATGATAAATTATAAAACTGTATCATTAAAATTTATAACCTGTTGAAAAAAGAGCTGGGAAGAGTGCTAGATTTTCTCAGAGCTGTGAATCATGATATCCTTAGGTACTGTGTACTACCCTTTTAAGTGTGCATTAGGTAACAATTATCTTTGCCCGTCTCTTAGTTTAGGTCTGGTTATGTTGCTGAGGGCCCAGCCAAGTAGTTCTTTCTTCCTCTTTCTTTTTTTACCTTGCTTCTAGTCCTAGCTAATACATGTTAGGCGTTATTAAAAGTATCTGTACTTGTACTTTTTGAAAGTTTTGCATTTCTGCAAGGGGGTTTCTGTACTTAAGGCTGTAATGATTAGAACTGGTATGCTGGTTTGGAAGGACGTTGGTCTTCAAGCCTCATGAAAAAAAAAAAAAAAAAAAGCAAATCCAAGTTTCTGCCTACCTTCTACAACACAGGGCTGGATAATACTAACTATCCCATCTGAGAAAACCAGATAATAGTATTGAGAGGTCTTCCAGCTTCACTTCACTCAAATGCTTTTGAAAGAAAAAGAAATAAGCAGGACAAGCCACAGCAAGAAAACAACATGTACACTTGCTACAGAGGAAAGCAGAATAAAATTGCATGGCACAGCATGTATTTTTCCTTTGAAACAGGATTTCTTTCCTTGGTACAGCATTATCTACGAATAAACTGTCCTTCCAAACTCATCCAGATTTCAAAAGCAAAGTTTTTTTGAAGAAAATATACAAAATCTTTGGATTCTAAGAACCTTCACCAGAAGGAGAAAGCCAGGGTGAATCCTGGAGCCATTCAGCCAGGAGAAAGCTCCTGAAGTGAGAGGACACTGAGGCATGAGTTCAGACCTCAGCACTATTGCACTGTGTGTTATGGTGATACACTTTTTTGTGACAATGTAAAATACATCCTTTGGTTTGGTTACTGACACTTCACTTGGCAGGCTGGGAGTTGCTTTCCTGTATCTAGCACAATGGGCCATGGTCTAACCTGGGGTCTTTTACCATTAGTTTAAATTTGATACCAGTAATTTCTTTCACTGATTTTACTGTTGTAAGGATTTCTGTTTAACTGCATATTAATAAATGGAGCTCAAGTAATTTTTGCTCTCTCTGCTTTCCACTTAAATCTATCAACATCCGGATTGAATAAACCTAGCACTGTACTCTGTGCTCTAATTACCTTCTCTAACCATACATTTTATTTTAAGACATTCATCCCATAACTGAACTTAATGAGTATCACAGTGTAGATTAAGAAAGCTTCAAAGTCTGGGTATATTCAAAAAACAGCTATTTGCTCCATCTAGAGGTGCTTTCCTCCTGTTCTTTAAAGAGCCTACACATAAAATTCTTTATTAGATTCAGATTCTGATTTCTCCTTAGGCCTTTAGATCTGTCTATATAAATAGTTTCGTTGAACAAAGAAGGGAAGTGCTACTAAAGCAAGGCTCTGAGCCAATAACACAGAGTGGAACAAATACTGGATCAGACCCTAAATCCATTTTCTCAGTAAAAAATGTCCTATCCTGAGAATCAGCACAGTATCTGGGCAGCTTATAAGCCTATATCCGGCAGCTTAAAGGTACGCATAGAGCACTGTGTTAGCTCTCTAAAACAGAGATGAGTAATAGTCAAAATAGCAGCCTTCAGTTTCACTGACAAAACCAGGGCAGCTTAGGGCTTCTCCCCCTGGAACCTGTCTAACACAGGCACGTGTGGCACCCTGACAAGTGCAGCTGCAACACAGGGCACAGTGCAAAGTGGCAAAACTACGCGCTCAAAGAGAACATGGTTTGAAGGATAAATGAATATAACATGCAGGTTCAGCAAGTTGTTCCTACAGAATGGGTTAGAACAGGCACTGACTGATCCAGATGAAGTTAACATGCATTACAACCTTAATAGCTATCTTTTTTACTTGCAAACGTCACCTTAATGTTCATGGCATTTAAATTTTCAGACACTGCAGTTATACATTGTTCTACTGATGTGTTGTTACACTCCTTAAGAAAAACACAGACTTGTTTCCAGTGTTTCTTTATAACGTAGAATAGGGATCTCGTATATTACAGCAAATATTAATAAACATAATAAATTTTTAAATCCTGATTTTACAACTCTTTCTTTTATATTTAGAAGCAAATGCACGGATTTACTGGTTATAGGGTGGAACTAAATTATGGAATCAGATTATTATACAATTCTGCCTTAAAGAAATATTTTATGGATATTCTAGCAGGCATTTACATATATTTTTATTTAGAAAAATAATCCATAGATCAGGAAAATAACATAAAACAAACAGGTCTCTTATGAATCATTCAAAATATTACTTTGGTCACACAAGACAGGTTATCTTATATACTTTGAACATAGGGGTTTAATTTTCTGTTTACTCACACCTGTCATTATCTTCCAAATAACAGACTGTACAAAGGGGGAGGGTAGGGATATTTGCTTTTTTTTTTTAAGGAAAATGAAGTTGTAAAAAATGATTTATTTTAAATATAGATGCTGAAAAGAGAAGAACTGCTGAACAAAAAGTGTGATGTGTAAAATCAAATTTCTACAATTTGAAGTAGCAATAAAAATGGTATTTTAATATAGCAAATGTAAGAAAGTTTTATTTCTAATCAGAGCAGATCCTTCAATTGCTTTAATTTGAAATATACCTGTCACAGTTAGGTCCTACTCGGTTGATTAATTTTTCCATAGCTTCTTCTGTCTCTCTCAGTTTTTCCTGGAGTTGAGTGAGCTCATAGTCAGCTGTAAAACAAACAAAACCCCAAGATCTGTCAGAAGGAGCTTTGAAAATATATCCCTGTCCCATTATGACAGGAAACATACGTTGTACCAAACCAAACTGGCTCTGAGGAAACTAGAACATGTAGCTTAAAGAGTTTTACCTACTTTTCCTCGTATAAGAAAGTGAGGACTATTGCCAGTGGTAATAGGACACATAGAAAGCACCGTCTTTCAGCAGCTCCCAAGCAACTTCCCAGTAATCAGAGTGGATGGGCCATGGTAAATGCCTTGGAAATTAAAGTTAGGGAAAAGAAAATAGCATCTTTTTTTTTGTAAGGAAACCATAGTGTTTTACTGTCTATTGCAGAGTTAATAGTTCTCATGGAATTTCCCTGTTAAGACCTTGGGAACAGAGACAAAAGGTCACTTGAGCATTTTCTAACAAGTCTAAGGTGTGAGAAACCACATCTTTACCGAAGAGAATGAAGTTCATGGGCTTGATGGCATCCAACCCTGCAGAGGTGTGCCAGGCTAAGCAGTGAGCACTAAAGGTCTGCCAGGCTCACCGGGATGAACAACAGCTAGCCACAGGGTGTCTGTCTGGGGAGCAAAGCACTGCATTTCCATGGCTGCACTTTTTTCAAAAAAGTGTGTCCATAATACAGTAGTAGACACCCATGCATACATGCAGGAACATTCATCCTGGCTTTAATTTAGCCGAAAGCATTAACAGTGAAGATGCAACAGCATGGACATATCAAGAAAAATGCTTGAGCTCCCTGTTTGGCTTTTGTAGCTCATGCTCAAAATCCTATAGCTGAGACCTCATTGTTCCCCACTGAAGAAAAATATGAAACCAGCCTGGGTTAGTTAAATATTCAGCTGTTACAGGCACACCCATTTAAGCAGCACAAAGGCACAACGGAACTCTGACATTGTAGGAATGGAGAAAGCCATCCAGAAACATCCTGCTTTTGGAAAGATCTCTATTCTGCAGAGAATGTCCTCACTAAATGTAGCACTGATGTTATTATTTTGCATGTCTGAAATAGGGGAAGGGAAATCCGCAAAGGTCCTTGGAGGAAATTACTCCCTGCAAGCCACTGTGTTCCTAGTCCAGTGACTTGTCCCCTGCTCTGATACAGCTCGGGATGAATGCTTTATGAATACAAATTAAGAGCTATAGAAAAAGGCAGAATAATTTTCATCACTAGTTCTTTGGGTTATAATGACAGTAAATATTTAACTTACTGCAAAGTTAGCTTCTCTTACCAAACATTGGAGAAAAAAATACAATTACCACTGCTAATAAATTGCACAAAAGTCCCAGGCACAATGCAATACAAGTGCACTGAAAAACAATCTATAACACCGAGTGCATTAGGTATTCCTAATATACGCATTAATGTCAAGATAATTACAGCTATGTTCTTGCTGCTAGCACTTTTTATAAAGCCCTAAGTACTTTTCTTTCCTATTACAATTTAGCCAGCTAAACACAAAACATTTAAATACTGTTATGGTAACTACTCATCCAATGTTCAATAGTAAATTTATTAATCTAGCTAATAAAAGTCTGCAAATAGTTTATCCCACTGATGTTTAGGTAAAATCACAGAAACATTTCAGAATACTGTTTACTTTCTCATCAACACTTTTAGAATTGCAAAAAGGTAAAGGAAAAAGTAGGGAAGTGCCTGGTAATGACTTAAGAATTCACAAATTCAAAAAAATGAAGGTAGCTTTTAATATCTTTACATACTATTACTAGAATATTACGGGTTGTAGAATAATTAGAGGTGGACATCCCATTATCCATTTTTAATCATTAGCTACATAGCTTTTCTGCAAATCCACACAGTTAATTCCATGAACCTCATGAAAAGCCATGGCTTCCAGGGGGGCTTGGGATCAGGCTACTATCTCATAGTCTCATTAGCTGAATGAGATTAGAAAGTGACGGTGCAATAATTCACTTTTAACTCTTGCTCATTCCAACACAGAAGCTTCTGGTTTTTTTCTTTACAGGGGTGAACAGCACCTTTAAAGTGTGCCCAGAACTTGAAGAACCTGGTTGGAACATGCCTCTACAGAGCCAACAGCTACACAGTCATACTCACTGATTTTCCTCTTCATGTTTCCAGGTGCAGCAGTAGGGCATTTCCGCTCTCCAGCAGTAGTTTTTCCCTTAGAAGCCAGCTGATGAGTGAAAAAAGACAACTCTTCTATCAGTTATCACAGTAGTAATATATAAGCCCCAAAGGCAACAGAAAATAGGATAGAAAACTAAAATATGCCAGAAAGTAAACACAGGAAAGCATGCTCAGCAGCATAAATAGACAACTATGAAAGATACCTGGGAGATCTTGCTAGCTGAAAACTCCACTTAGAACAAATGGTATTTTTAAGCATAGTGGAAGCATAACTCACCAAAAATAACTTCTTCATTTTAGAATATTTACCTGTTCCATTCTTCTGCATATAGGACAGAAAAAACCCTCATTGATCAATTATTGTGAAATAAAGGGCAGGTTCTGAAGGAATTACATGTGATCCCGCTTGTCCCTCTTGCAATGCTTTTTGCCATTATTCCTTACCAACTTTGTACACGCAGCAAAGATACCGGCTAACTCTATCCAGAAGCTACAGGCTATATATTTCTTTTGACTTCTCTGCGTTTGATCAGTTCACGCAATTCACTTCATTCTTGCCTCTGTCTGTCCAGTGCAGGCTCAACTGTTTGGACACTGCTCAATCTAGATTCAGCCCTCACACAAAGGAAAAAAACATTTTCACAAGTCCACTTCTCCCTCCTCTCACACAGCTGATGGTCATCACCTACATGACAGTCACATCTGTGTAACAAAAAGGCATGAGAAGTTCAAATCACATGTGAAACACCTGAGGGAAATTTGGGCTGTGTTTTTTAAAACTAGCTTTCTACCAGTTCCTCAGCTGGGATAGTTCTAGTGTCGTCAATACAACCTTACAAACTCCCGTTCTCCAACAACACGGTGCTTCTGTTCCAGAAGGTATGCAATGACTGCACTCCCTCTCTCCCACTTTAAATACATAACACAATACGTGACATATACAGTATATATAATAAGTAGTCACCCATAACAGAAAATAATATTATGTGCATATTCAAAATTACTCTAACACTGTTCTAAACATACACATTTTCCAAGGGGGAAAAAAAATCCTTAAAAAAATTGTAAGAGGTCATAGGCCAATACAGGATCACAGCAACCCATCCCTGCACTCTTAGCTACAATCCTTGCAATAGCAAAAACCACAGGATACACCAGTCTTTCAATCACCAGTCAAAGGTCCAGCATAAACTTTTTTTTTTTTTTTTGAGAAAGGCTGAAATGGAACCAGGTACAGAAATGGGACTATAATTTCTGTTTTGAGGGTTTTTTTAGTTGTTACTTCCCTGACTTTTCAATTTATGTTGATCTTACCTTAAATAAGATGTACAGGATATATAAGAAGATGCCAAATCCATATATAGGAATAATCTGCCCCACAAGACCTCTCCCAGTTCCACCAATGCTTCCACCACCACCTCCACCTGCCTTGGCTTTGGCAACTGCTTCAGCAAGGTGAGACCTTGCAAAATGAGGAGCAGCCCGGCTGTCGGGAGCGGCCTGGTAATGCATTCTCGGTGGAAAGTGACCAAGTTTCCCTGCAAAAAAAAAAACACACGGCAATTATTTTTCTTCTATTACTTTTCACCCTTTTACATGCAGCCTAAAACTGCAGGAGGTGTGACTGAACTATCTTCTCTACTTTTAAATGGACCACGACTGATAAATAAAGTAGCTTGTTGGACTGTAAGTACTAAGTCTGTAAACTCAATTCTCAGTCATTTACCATATGCAGTGCTAGGAGTTAGGTATGCACAATTACTCTCTTGATTTTAAGAAGAGGAAAAGCTGGCAGGGCAATTAACAAAACACAGATTTTAACAGGTATCTACTCATCCAAAGACCTTATGAATCAGCATCCCTAACAGGATGAAGACCCAAATTCCTGGTTCTCTGCTCAAAAAAAAACCAGTAACGTATCAGTTTTCTGCTGTGAGACTGATCTTTCAATATTATGCAATGTATAAACGACTACCCATCTAACATCCTGATACATGACTGCAGTATTTGCCCAGTATAGATTTTTCGCTGTTACCATATGTCCCATCCCACTCTGTGGGCTAGGGTGAGGAGGTTTTTAATCCTCTGTGCAGTAGTGACAACAATCACCCAAAAAGTTACTCCAAAGAGCAAGTTTTTACTTGAAATCTGACAGTGGCACAACAGATAGTATATCAGCTAGGCAAAACCCTGAGCAATGACCAAAATCTGCAAATACAATGAAAACAACGGCTGAGGCGAAACTTACAGCATACACCGACAAACCACAAACACACCTACAAACCGTACATGTCACACAGAGCAACAAGCCTTAAATCTTGTAACACATACCAACAAGTCATATATGCAGAATAGGAATGAATAGGAGAAAGAAGAAGGGAGATTAAAAAGGGGGGAGAGAGGCAAAGAGAAGGATTTCAGCAGTCCTGGTTCCAGCATGGTCCAGCCAGCCTAGAGGACCAGTTCCATAGGGGTGCCACGTGGGGCATCAATTCTGTCCTGTTGTGATCCCTTGCCACTCCTCCAGGCAGGTACTTGGATTCATTAGGCTAATTAGATGTCATGCACAGTTCATGCTTCTAGAACCCTCCGGGCCCTGGTGCATGCGCAGTTTGCACCCGCCGAGCTCTCTGGAAATGGGTCGGTGGGCTTGGGGGTCGCTGGGGAGCTGCTCCCCGCTCCCTGCAGACGTGGCTGCCATCAACCCTCCCTCTCGGCACATGCGTCGTGAAAGCGGCCTCTCCAGAGGCTCCTCACAGAGTCGCTCAAGACAGGGCAGTCCAGCCTCGGAAAGGCACGGTCCCATTTCCCTGGGAACCCCCCTCATCTCGCCGCAACTCTTCTGTCATTACCTGAACAACTCCGGCATTTCCATAGGGATTGTCTCCTTTGCCAAAGTTCGCCATCAGATGTTTGAGGCATTTACTATGATTTTGGTCGGGCCATCACACTGTAAGTAATATTTTACCTGATTTTACCAAATGAGTAATGAAAGATAAAGAAAAGTGGCAGCACCTCAAACTGTTCTCCTTCAACATGTGTTAGGTAAAGCACTATAAGAGAGGAGATTGAACATAGCTTGGGACATTCTATCGTCAGCATTTTAGAGGGAAAAAAAATGGCTTCTAGCCTTGAGAGAGGCAGAAATAATTTAAAACGAGAAAGGGGAGTGAGCATACATGGATGCATGGATGCTAGAGGAAGACTACAGAGAGCCTGAGACAGTGCTGCAGACAATTTCATTCAACTGAAAGGCACTAGAATCTCAATTCATCTAAGCTCACGCATTATTCTGTTTTCTTGCTGCCATCAGTTCAACAATTTTGCCATGAAATTCACTGTTTCACTCCCCCGTGTACTTGACATCCTGCTTTCCATCTCCACACCCAGCCTGGACTTGCACCCGCCGGCCCTTCCACCGGCCGGCACTGCCCAGAACGGCTCAGCCACCCGCCACCGAGCCTGGCGGCAGGCGGCACCGCCGGAGCAAAGCCGGGCAGCCTGCACCCCTGCACTTCCATAAGGAAAATGAAAACCAGGCTTGAAATAGCACTGAAAATAACTAGCTTTACGTCTGTGAGTACCCAGCTGCAAATATTTTTCTGAGAAGCAAGACAAGAGAAAATTAGATTAAATTAACATTTGCTCTTGCTAGGAAACACCAGCACAGGCAGCTAAATTCCTGAGCACGGAAAATTACAGTTAACACGTATTGGGAAGTGATATCAATCATTCCTGAGGGTCTACTATTAAAAACATATTCTTCTTGTAGGTGATGGCATACATTCTTTGAGTGCTGTAGGCTTTAGTGAACCAGCCTGGGTATACCACCATTGACCAAAACCACTTAGATTAGCTCAACTTTGGCTTAAATTTGAGGAAGCTGTTACCATGCACTTTAAATTTAGTGAACTACTCAAAGTCTGTGATGGGCATAGCGTCTTATTTACAAGAAAGTCCCACTGCTCCAGCAGGAATGCCTTGTAGCAGTAGGTCACTGTGGAAACAAGTGTGATATTATGTAGATAGCAGTATCACTGAAGTGGGGATGAAACAGCAGGGTTGATAAACCTTTGTAAAACATCTTATACTCATGCAAATATTCTTTATTAAAAAAAAAATATTAAGAAAGAAAATAATTGACAAAGGTGAAACTGTATTTAAAGGGAACAGTCTTCTAAATTATCCATAAGGCCTCATGTATGCTTTAAAAGATTCAATTCAAGTAAAGATAATGAGGCCAAAGGGACACACACTAGTCATTTCATTATCAAAATAATTTTAAAGGGGGAGGTTCATGGCTCCTAGTTCTAAGTTTTCCCTGTTGATTTTTAAACTTTTATAATGATTTCCAAATTTTTAAAAAATATTATTTCCCATAGCTTTTTATTGTGAAGAACCCAAGCAAATTATAGAGGAAATGGATGGCACAGGCAACTTAAAAGCAAGATATGCAAAAAGCTGTCAAATACACAGTATACAAATGGAAATGCATAGCAATTTGGATGCCACTGTCAGTTGAACGACACCATGTGCTATTAAAAAAACCAACACCCTAGCACACACACCAGCAGGTGATGTGACCGGATTCCATGTTTCCAGGGATGAAACCACTTTCAAATTGAGTCAACATACTCTCCCATCAATAAAATCAAGTCACACTTCTACATGAACACAGAAGTGCCCGTGCTGGGTCCGTGTTTGCTGCACCATCCAGTTGTCAGTGCTGTTGGTACTTCAACAGGACACTTTCCATGCTGTGGGAAGGGAAGAGCACTAACCTCCGTTTAGCTTTGAAGGGTGCCACCATGCTGCTGGTTTTGAAATGTTTCTCAACTCCTCTGTGACAGCCTGAGGACTGCCTTCACAGACCTGACTGCTGCATGTGGTAACTCCACCGAATACACCCTACCTGGCTTTACAATCTTTTTACCTAAGGTCTACCCAATACAATCAATAATTTGTCAGTTTAATGATTCAAATCAACTTTGCAAAACAGCTACGGGGCAAGTAGAGTTTCTTTTGTCTAATCCTGTCCCTTCAAAAGCTTTAAGTCCAAAAATGTAATTATGCCCAGCTAACATTTATGTTGAGAGACTGTAGATTTCTGAATGTAGATGAAGTCCTTAATAGCAGTACCATAATTACAGTGGGCTTTTTAATCTTTTAACAATATTAACACTCAACTGAAAAAAGCAAATCTTAAAAAGTATATTTATAGCACACCTAATACAACAGCCAACCAGCTGATAATATTCAGACCATCCAAGTATCTTTTTTCCAAGAAAGCTGTTACATGGTCTACCTAGTGGGCTTTAGGAATTGCTGCTGAGCCTAACCTGACTATATATAAAGTTATTTAGACTTAAGTTATTGTATGATTCAGCAACTATTAGTGTAGATAATATGTCTTTCTGCAACATCTGACCAGCTGTAAAATGCTGGGATACACACGTATAATAAAGAAATAAAGCCTGACATGCAGTACATACGGGCTGCTGCTACATTGTCTGCACTCCATCCATCAGGAGATTTACCACACATTACTTCATTTATAGAATGTGCATGTTCTTCAGACCCCAGGAAGTGGAGGAGGTGGGTTAGAGACAGAACATGGCAGTCTGGGAAGAGTGTGTGACTTGTCCAAGCTGACAGCAAAGCAAAAGATGCTGTCCTCATTGCTTCTCACATCTCAACCAAGCTGGTCCTCAAGGAGACAGCACCCACAGTTCTGCTCATCCTCTGCAGTAAGCGCTCTGCCTTTTTGATTTGTTTCCACCCCAAACCCATGGTTACACTACTTTGGTTTGGAAATGTTAAGATTAGGTGTGTTTTTTCCAAATAAGACATTTACTTTTCCTTACTGTGCACGCAAAACCAACCAACCAAAAAAAAACCACCACAGCCCAAGAACAAACCAGCTAGACGTTCTGCAAAAGCTTTAACTGAAAAAACATGTGACAGTGGCATACAGAACTATCCTCCTGCCTCAGCAATGCCAAGTCCAGTCCTCAAACCTATATTCAAACTGTACAATGACTCCCACATTTAGGGATGCTTAGGTCCCATTTACATTTTCCTGGTAAAATGTTCATTGCAGTGACTGAAAAAGAAAACCACCACTTTTTCTGACACTCACAGGGATCAGAAATGAAATTGTGAGAACCAAAACTCAGAGTTTACATTTTTCTCTCCTGCTCTGTTTGACTTTGTATTTAAAACAAAGCTTTTGCCAAGTAGGATATGCAAGACCTCCCTCTCTGGTAGATGCCAATAAAGAGGCATTCATACCGAAGCCTTTGTCTCAGGACACTGGAATCAATCTTTAGCCCCTCTCAGCAGTGTTTTTTCATATAACATTTATTTTATCTCTCTCTCTGTCCAGTGAGATTAATTGGCCAAAGGGTTCTAAAGCTGCAAGTGGCAACACACAGAAAGACAGACAGACTCAGTAATAAACTTCATCTTCTCTAGACTGAAAATGCCCTCCTAGGTTTTCTTGCATGACCTCCATGTTTAGTATAATAGCTTAAAATAACCTATACAGAAACTGTTTTCTTGACAGTTAGTCTAAATTCTCTTTCAAGCCACTATACCATTTCTGCTGCTATTCTTTAACACCCTCTATTTTCCCCAACACCTTTTCCCACAGAAAGCCCAAGTAATTAATCCTTTTTATAACACTACAAGCTCACGTTCCATTCATTGTTGAAGTCACTCTCTATTTCAGTATGATACACTATCACAAGACCCATATTTTAGATTTTTTTACACATGCAGTCAATTATATATTTCCTCTTCTAAATACTTCTCATTCTGGCAGACAAACAGTATGCATTCATTTAGTTCTTGCTCTTTTACAAAAATACATTTACAAAATAGCTCTGTGTTCCCAACAACACAACTTTAGAAACCTACCCAAAAAGGTTAGAAGGAATGACAATTTTGAAATGCTTACTTTAAACCACCGCACAGGTGTTTTTAATGGACACAGTCAAATGCTTGGACATTTTTCATTAAATACTGCAGGTGGAGGTTAAACAGGAAAGCACAAGAGGTACCCAAAATAGAAACATCTTAATTTTCTGAAGTAAGGACACCTGCAGATAACTGATGTATGCACTGAACAAATGCAAGCTGGGCAGAGGCGCTACCTAAACAGTCATGTATTTTATTTTGTGAAGCTGATGCCACTTGATTGTAAGATAGCAGACAGACTATACACCTGTTGCCATGGAGCTGTAAGGTTTTTCTTAAACTACCAACTCAGAGAGTAGCTTTACAAAATGCATGGCATGTATTTATGAACATTATACTTAATACTTTAAAATTGCTAGTAGTTTTTTTTTTTTCCGTCTTTCCTGAGGGAATTTAAAAAAAAAAAAAAATTAAATTGTAATGCCTGTCCATGAACTAGAAATGTGATACATTCACAGTAAGTTCTTTAAATAAAGTTCTTTCATATACATGAAACTACTACTGTGAAAAAGAACACCTTTCCTGTCTGAAAGACAGTATTAACTTTTATAGTGCTATGCTCACTATTTTCCTAAAAGTGACCTCCAAATTAGGCTTTATTAGAGAAAGCACCATTCCCATGCTTAAAGCCTTTTTTGATAAAAAGCCTTCTGTAACACTGAGTTCTAACAAATGGTAGTGAACTTTAAGAATGTTTTATTCAGAGGCATTTTGCCCCCAAGACTACAATAAGCACTTTATAACTTCAAGAATGACATGATTACTTCAAGTCCCTGAAACTTCTGTCAGGTAACTGCAGTTATCAGCTCACTGAAGAGGACGACTAATGACAGAGATATGAATTAGACTGTTCAATCAAGATTTATTCTTCCAATAAAAAATAACTTCAGGTGAAATAAAGTTTGGTCTACAGAGCAGGTGTAATGACATTCTTGCTATCAAATTGAAAATATGGACTATAAATTCTCATCTGAAACGGATCAGCTGAGGTGAGGTATTATGTCCTTAGCCAGAGAGGTGCTGGGGTGCAACAGATGAGCACACCGAGCACTCGCTCTGCACCAGGCACACACAACCTCATGCTGCACTGTGATCTCCTGCAGGATGATGGAAAGAGTATTTATACTACATACTGATGATGGAAAGAGTATTTATGTTACCTATTTTAAGCATTTAACTGTGGCTGTGATTAGTCAGCTTATGACAGCACTGCCTGAAGCAGGCTGTGCTAGAACAGGTATGAAAATCATTCATCAGACACACGTCACTGAAAATAATTTGGGGGCAAGTTTTTTGCTGGGGATTTTTTTTGAACTAGTTTTTCTGTCAGATCAATTCAATCCAGTCCATCCCGCAGCCAAAGAAAGAAGCACCAGAACATTAACTGACAATTGCCTAAGACTGCACTGCTGCAGGAAAACAGTTTGTCAAACTCCACCACCTGGTATCACTGTGGGATGAGAGTCGGGAGCTGCACAGGGGCACAGACAGGTACCACGTCACAGCGCGTCTGCCCTCAGCCCTGCCTCAGGTAGGTGACTCCACAGTCCCCTTTGCGGGGCCCAGCACCGTGCCCTCACAAGACTGCTCCGGATATACCATCAAAAAAAAATCAGCCACCATTCAGGTTTCCAGTGTTAAGAGATTCTGCAATGACACTACAAACCTGTAGGTCTACAGTGCTGATGAACCTATATTCAAGTTCTTAAGGACCAAGAATACACACAGCAGCCGTGGAAGGGTAGCTGTAGCACAGAAGTCAGGTATTTCAGTTCAACATAACATTGTTTCAGCAGTAGCTTCAGTCTGAACGTCCTTAAAAGCCCTGGTCAAATGAAATCAATGTCACTGAAGTGTACGGTCACGTAAGAACCAGGCTGCTGGAAGGAGGAGGAAGTCACTGAACATGAGTCCCTGTGGGACAGCACCCAACACAACCCAGAAGTTCTCCATACTTCCACCAGCCTCACCTCTGGCTCACAGGCAGCCCAGGGCAAAACTCTTTCTCTGCCAAGACCCAGGGCTATGATACTCGCTCCTACTGTGAAGTGCCTTTGGGAGAAAGACCTACAGTAAGAGGCAATGGGCACAAAAATAACGGGAGATGTCTGTATGAACCCAACCCTGTAGAAGATGAGGCACGCAGAGTGGGAGAGCAGGCAAGGACACAGCTCAAGGGGCCGCAGGGACAGGACCTGAGTCTAAATGAGTCATCATGTGGCGCATCTGCTATGAGAATCTGGTGCACAAAAAACAAGTTTAAAATACTGGAGCAGGAAGCTAAGCAATGAAGGTGATTCAAATGAACTTTTATTTCATATGCAACAACAAAAACATTCCGTACAGAAAGTAACAAAATAATGAAGCTTTCAAATAAAAAGTGATGCATCACAATGGAAAAAAAAAATGTATGAGTAGGTCTCTTTTCAGTATCTTCCCACTTAAATAAAATGATATTGGTAAGATTTTAAACGATTTTTTTTTTTTTTTTCTGAAGGGAAAAGAAAAAGGTAGATCACAGCGAGAGCAGCGAACTCCATCCCTGGCAGCCCACACGGCACCGAGGGGCGGGCAGGGCAGCGCCGCGGCACACGGCCGGGTCGGACGAACGGCGCCGCGTTCCCACAGCCGGCGGCAGCGCACGGTCCGCCCGCCCGCCCCAGGCCCAGGCCCGCGCCCCGCCCGCCCGCCCGGCGGCAGCGGCCCCGGGACCGGCCCCGGGACCGGGACCGCCCGCCCCGCACTCCCCGCCGAGCCACCGCCCGCGTCCTGCGCTCGGCCCCCGACCAGCAGCCGGAGCCCAGGCCTCGGCGTACCGGCTCACTCTTACCCTCGGGCGGCGCGGCCGCGGGCTCCTGCCTCCCGCCGCCCCGGGGCAGGAGGGCCCGCGGCAGGAGGAGGGAAACGCCGAGCACCAGGCAGGAGGCGGCGGCCAGCCTGCGGCAGGCCGCGGACGCCATGGCGGCCCCGCGCAGGCGCGGAGCTGCGGCGCCGGCGGGCGGGCGCCTGAGGGCGGCCCGGGGGCTGCGGGGGCCGCGCTGCCTAATGCCGCCGCGCTCGCCAGGTTGGCTGCCCGCCCCCCCCCCCCAGCCCGCCTGGGCAGCAGCGCTGCGGGCTCACCGCGGGGAGAGGGAAATAATCGGCACTGCGCCTTTTTTGTTTGTTTTTCTGCAGCTCCCGCCCTGCTGCGAGGCGGTGTCGGTGGCGGCAGTGTCAGCGGTGCTCCCCCGGGGCCGTACCGGCGGCGGGGCCGCTGCTGTGAGGGCAGCCGGGCGTGCGGGGGCACGGGCGCCTCGGCTACAAGAGCTGGCCGAGGCCGTGGCCCGCCTGGGTTCTCCGTGTGGGGTTGTTTCCCTCCTTGGAGCACAAGGAACAGATGTAGAAAAGACCTGACCGTATTTAAAATTAATTCAATTGACCGCAGCTATCTTAAGAAATTTAAGAATATGCATGTATTTCCAAAAGAGAGCTTGAAATTCGTGTATTGTCGATGCATTTGTTTAGGTTCCTGCAGTGCAAAGTCGTCTGGAAACCACCTGCCTACAATGCTAACAATAAAAGAAGTGAAGAGGGAAGTTCATTGTTCGTGCTCGTTCATTTCCACCGTCTTAAGCAAAAAACTGCCAGTCATGTCAAATTAAATTATATGGTTTTGTATTACCATTATATTTATATTACACTGTATTACTGTAGTTGAATTAGACTATTTTCCATGGGGTCTGGGCTGTGACTACTGAATTTAACTCACTTTACGCAAGAGCTACCCTTAATTAGACTTGAGCTGAAAGCAGAATTGCTTTGACTAACGCTGCAGACCACTACGGCAGCAGAATACCAGAGACTCTTTCATTACCACAAAAGAGATACCCGCTATCAGCACAGCTGGAACTGGGCAGGCGATTCCAGAAGTGGGTCTCCCTGAGCACCTCAGCCCTGGGGAGACGGCAGCCCGTGGCCAGGTCCCACCGGCCGTCATCGGACCAACCCGGCTCGATTATCTCCTACCACAGCTCCTTCAGCAGCTCTCAGGCACCTCACAGTAGGACTCTGGGACTCCCTGCTCTACTCCTGGGAGTCAGAATTGCGGGAACTATTGTTTCAGTGTCTATGCCTCTTTCCTGAACTTGTTAGCAGCTCTTGATGCCGGCAGTGGCAAAGTTAGCAGGTAGGGGCATCAAAGGGACCATCACCCTGATCAGAAATGTCCTCAGTCTGCTACCAACAAATAATTCACTCAATCTGTTATGAAAAATATATTGTTATTCTCTGGAAATGATGCACCACCATAAGCAGCAGCTTTCATCTCTTCGTTGAGGAGAAAAAGCTTTGTGGCATAGTACAGTGGTGAGATTTTGCAGTTTCTTAGGACAGTCATCTTCAGCCTCTGTTGATGCTAAAGTTACCCAAAGCATCAGTCCTTAAGCTGAAAGCAAAACAGCCTTCCATGACCAGAGGAGAGCACCACTGGCCTGGCACAGCACTCCTGGGGATTGCTTCTCTTTCTGTTGTAGCTCTTGGGATGTGGAGGAAGGACAAACAGCAATGGGAGGGCCACACCACCACCTGAGCCTTTTTAGGTGTTAGCTGCAACTGTCAGAAGGTGATTTCACCATTATAAGTTCTGTGGGTGTTATCAAGGCAGTCAGCTCAAAACGCTGATATCTGGAGGATTCCTTGGTGATTAGGTTTGGATGAAGAAGATTCCCTTTCCACTCTTGCCTTGTTCCTAAGGTCACTGGAAGAAAAAAATGAATACTTATGGCAGGTTTCTCAGTCTTTTACCCTATACCATACAAAGCCAAGGAAGAACGGGGAGACCGATGCTCTACAACTAACGTTTCATGTGGAAACACTGGCTTTCTGATCCCAGTGTGGCACTTGGTGTATGGCCGCTCAGGAAGCCTACATCAGCTCAAAACCAGAGCAAGGAGTTTAATACTGGGATTATACATAGAAACTGCATAGATGTAACGACTCTTTGTGAGGTCTTCAATCATCAAGAGTTATGTTTAAAAAAAAGGACTTGATAAAACTAATTTTTCTTCTTCAGCCCAATACAGAACTCCTGCAGGGGAAGCTTAAGGTGCAAGTCTTGGGCTTCACAAGAAGGATAGATCCAGTCCTTTGTCTGTGGAAGCCACAGGTGAAATCCTTCTGGTTCAGCCTGCTGTAGAACTTGTTTCTAATCGTACAAAACAGTGTTTGAAAACAGCATCCCAATGAAAAAAATCAAGAGGATGTTTTAGATTATTCTATCTTCTGTAAAGGGAAAATATCATAAATATATTCTGATCTGAATATCTGAATTTTTCAGACCACATTCTGAGAAACATGAATGCACTGATTGCTCACATGTGCCTCAAAATATCAGCCTCATGAAGTAGATTTTGCTGTATTTAGATTGCTTTGAATTGTGTTTGCCATCACATAGAAAGAGATGTTTTCACAGAGTGTTGTCTTAAGTGCTACTATTCATAAATACATTGTTTGATTTATGTTTCCGAAGTGATATAAGTACAGCCTTTATAGTATTCAGAAACAACACTTACATAGCAAAATACCTTCCAGGTAGTACAATAGTTATTCAGGAAATATCGATAGCAATCTCCAACAAATGATTTGTTTTGAACTTCTGGAAAGGAACAATAGAAATGAATTTCATTTTTTTCTTTTTTATTTAATCCTGATATCTTCCCACTTACCTGCCTCTGCTATCCTGTGCTTACCAACTTTCCCAGTTTCTCCTTATCGTGGGACAAACAGTGAAAAAGTTTTTAAAGATCATTTATCCAGTAAGAAACACTGGGGTTTTTTTTCCTTGTTTTTATGCTTTTTTTCCTAAGGATGTTCTTGGGCTACTTTATTTTGGAGTAAAGTTCAAAAACCAGGAAATGACAATGTGAGTTGTGGAAATTGTTCACATTCATGCTACTATCCATGCTGGCAATATCAGCATCAAAGCAACCATCCATTTGCAGAACTGTTTGCAACTTACTGTAACTTTTTCCTTTCATAAAGGAAGGATCATGTTCAGAAGCTAGAACCTTTTTCACATGTGTAGGTGAAGATCTGCATGAGCCACAGTCTATAGCTTAATGAATACAAAACTAAGGATTATGTAAAACAGCATTCAACAATTCTACAAAACAGGAAAGGCATGAATGCTCAAGTACGATTGCTGATAATTCAGTGAAGAGAAAATTAATGTGAAAGAACTTGAATGAATCATTATAAGCCTGTCTTTTTTTTTTTTTTTGCCTGCTCATTCTTGACTGGCCACATATAAATTGCTATAAAAATGAACAGTTTTGATATAAATGTAAAAGAGGAACAAATTTCTTAATCAAACTAACAAATGTCTCAAGAGCCTCCTCCTATGTCTAGAGGACTTGCCAAAAGCTGTGCCATCGCAGCTTCTCTCACATAACTTAGGAAGGTGTCTATGTGCATGCTGCAACTATACTTCTCATTGCAGAGTATCTTAGTAGTAAAGGGCCAAATGCTGCAGTATTAGGTAAATGCAAACACCAGTAGGAAGCCTGAGAGCTTTTTTCCGAGGAAGAATGTAATGCCTTGGTAATTCCCAAATCTGTTGATGAGCTGCAGAGCAGACAGAAATCACTGGTTAGGCTGCACCGGCAGCATTTGCTGGGAATATGGCTGTGGCATGTTGTGCTCTCCAGCCTGCAGCGCACAGCCAGTGCCCTTGCAGCACGCTAAGCCAGTGCTGTACCTAAGTGGTAAAAATGGGCCACATCCTCTGTGCCTTCTGTGGGTAGCCTGGAACAAGGATGTGGTTTCTTGTCTTCTGTGCATGAGCAAATCTATTTGGCGTATCTTCAAGTCTTCCCCATACTGAGACTTGGAGGATTTGCCCCTAAATGAGCAGTGTTGACTAGAGGCTGCCTACGTGTTTTCCATGGTGAGTTGATAAGGTAACACCAAGTAACAGATGGGATTGCTTCCACAATGTGATCAGGAACACATTAAAGGGGATGGTTTAACCTATGGACAAGGTGATGCCTTGCAGAGGGAGGACCCTTTCCTGGCGTCTCGCTGTTATTGATCGGCAGAAAGCTCAGACTTGAGTTCTGTGGGCCCTTCTGTCACAAAAAAAATAAGGGAAGTAGTATTCTGCTCCAATTAATTAAACAAACTGATATAAATTCCCCGCTTAAATTGTACTTTGCATATCCATAATCTCTGCACTACATTTTATGTATACTTTACCCTTGGGTAAAAATTTGTGAGCATATAAATGCTTTCTCATATAATCTTGCTAAAGCACGCTCTTCCCTATAAATATTCATACCACTGCCAAAACATTTGCAAGCTTTCCCCAAAGGTGAAATATGTGTAATGTACTTTGCCTTCTGGGTATAAATATTATCCAATACATTTTGGTTAATATGAATACACTAATTATTCTTGTAACCCTTTTAAAAGGGTCATCCTCATGATGTGAATTTTTTAAAAATGTAATTACAGTAATTGGATACTTAATCTAATTAAAATTGGCTTTATCTTTAATGGGAATTTTTCTAAAGAGGCAGAATGACAATTGACTTTCTGATAATCACTGTTTTCTTTCAGCTAGAGGATGCATTTAGTACAGTAGGAACCAGAGAACACGGCCTCTTTACTACATGCCAGCCACCTTTAGGGCCAGTTAAACTATAATTTTCTCCGTTACCAAGCAAAACTTTCACTTTACTTAGAGATAGAAGTTCCTCATCCTGAATCGATTTCATTGTGGCTGAGGTACAGATAATTTAGGGAACGTTTATTGTGTGGACTACGATGCAAAGCCCCCCTTAGAGAAGATGCTGTGTGGGAGAAGCTGCCAGCCTCACCAAGCCTGCCTCTGTTGGTGGCTGTTGGCACAGTCATACGCCTGATGAGCTCCGCTGCCTTCAGGAGGTGCACCTGGATGGACCCCAGCATGCTCGGGGTACATGTAAATTCTCACTGAAGTCAACAGAACTCCAGTACAGAGATAACTGGGATTATTTCCTGGGTGTATAATTGGGATCAGCGTTTCCAATGTGCTCTCTAAAGGCATGCTCCTTGCACAGTGTGCCTCGCAGGACTGTTACTGTTCAAACAGTGAAAATTATTTTGAGTCCACATCGCCAGTTATAGGGAGCATCCTTTAGTGTGGGAAGCCAAGGAGAACAAGGCAATGGAAATGCTGGGGCCTGTGCAAGAATGAGACTGGAGAAGTGCATTCATGTCACTGGTCTTTGGACACCTGTGACGTACATGTTTATGTCTGAGATATGTTTGTACTGCTCAGTGGGAAATCGGTACTTTTAAGGTATAATTCACCTGACCATAGGTAGAGGTCTACTCTCGGATGTCATGAAACATACTGTATTTTCCTTCCTGGACGATTAAGGGTGTAGGGGGTGCCTTGCCCAGAGGCTGTAGGTGTGAGTGCTGAGTCAGAGGAATGCCCCCAGCTCAGAAGCAGCACAAACCCCTGCCT